AGAAGAGAGAAAATGGGATAAAAAAAAAATGAACGAAAGGAATAAAGAAGACCGAAAGAGAGATAAAGAGAGAAAATCAACCGCGCTCTCCCGCCGCGCTTGGGAGAAAAGGTGGTGGGGGGGGGGAGAGGAGAGGAGGGAGGAGAAAGGGGAGTGAGGGGAGACAGAGGATGAGGAGGCAGCTAGGTGTTAGGGAAGCGGTAATCCCCAATTTTTTGCGGGCAGCACGTGGAGCCTCTTTCTACGGCACGCACGCAGCACACGGTTGGGTTTTTTACCAAAGCACCGGCGGGAGAGGAGGGGAGGAGGGGGGGGGGCGGCGATGGAGGTAGGGACAGGGGAGGAGGGTTGGTCAGGAATAGGGGAGGGGAGGGAGCGGATGGAGGGGTAAGGATGCCGGGGGTTTTCTAAGGGGGGAAGGGGCGATGGGCGCTCTCCTCCTTTCGCCTCCCCCTCGAAACTAGCCACGAGGGTGAAGTGTGCGAGAGACAGAAAAAAGGGGGGGAGGGGGATAGGGAGCGGGGACGAGGGAGGGAGGGAGGAAGGGAGAGAGAGGGGAAGAGGTTAAAGGGAGGATAACTTTTTTTTATCGAAGAGGTGTGGTAAAGTAGGGGGGGGGGAGAGAAGATCAAAAAGGGGGGGGAGCATATATTTTGAGGGGTCGAGGCGGGGTCAAAGAGGGAAGACCTTTTTGCTCTGGAGGTTGAAGATGGGAAGCTGGCTCAGGGAGAAGAGGAGGCCGAAGATTCACTCGAGCCCCTGTCTGGCGCAGTGTTCATCGCACCTGAATATTGGTATTCTGGTGTTGGTCAAAGCAGGTGCAGTAAAACAATTATATTTTTGTTAGATGGTTTATTTTTATGAAAATTTTGTATATATATACACACACACATATATATATATATATATATATATATATATATATATATATATATATATATATATATATATATATATATATATACACACATTTGTATATGTACTCACACACATACACACACACACACACATACACACACACACACACACACACACACACACACACACACACACACACACACACACACACACACATATATATATATATATATATATATATATATATATATATATATATATATATATATATACACATACATATGACAATGCTCCATATTTGTATCTACTTAAAATTGTATCTTATTAAACATGTATATATACATATATATGAGTATATACGTATATATAAATATGTATGTGTATATATGTTTGTATATGTGCATATATATACATATATGTATATATATATATATATATATATATATATATATATATATATATATATATATATATATATATGTATATATATATAATATAATATAATATATATATTAGATATATATATATATCATATATATATATATATGTACATATGTATATATATGTTTGTATATGTGCATATATATATATATATATATATATATATATATATATATATATATATATATATATATATATATATATATATATATACATATATTGTGTGTGTGTGTGCGTGGGTGTCGTAAAGAAAGATAGATATGTAAAGCTCTACCGAAACAGCCGCGAACAACATGGAAACCGCATTCATGAAAGTCATTGCACTGCCGTTCTCCCGCCGGCACCAGAGCGGAGGGACACCTCCACAGAGGCGCCGGTAAGTTGCATCAATTTGCAGTTGCATCTCGAAGCCATTGCAAGAAAGAGAGAAGAAGCTGCGAGGTGGGATGACGCGCCCCATACCCCTCCCCTTCCCCCTCCCCCCTCGCGGCCGCCTGGGTTCCTTCACAACCGCGGAAACGATCGCGTTATGGCGGTGATTTACGGCAGCTCATTTGAATTGCAAATAATTAGTCTGCAAATTGGCAATTGGCCTAATGACGGGGATTATTGGCGATTTGATTATAAGCTCCCGCCGTAAATTGCAGGTGTTTAGGCGGGAGTCCGTCTCGCTCCGCGGTGTCGGGGGCGGGGGGGGGAGGGGGGAGGGAGGAACATTGTTGTTTTAACTCTTCGGTTTGTCTGAAATTCGCGTGTGTGTATGTGTGTGTGTGTCTGTGTCTGTGTTTGTGTTTCTGTCTGTTTTATCGCACGTGCTTCTGGATACCTGATGCAGGCCGCTTCCTTCTCTTCAGTCAGTTCTCCGTAATTTTCAATTTCTGGTTTTGTGTTTTGAGTCTGTCGTTGCGGACGCTCACACGTTTAAAGAAGAAAAAATATATATTTCGTTATGAATTCCTTTTTTCTAAATAAATTCAGCATTTATGAATTATTTTAATCTGAAATTTCTATTCAAACCTAATAGCAAAATTATTTTTTATAAAGCCACGCAAGCTGATGACATAAACAGTTGCGATCAGTTGTAAACAACAACAACAACAATAATAATACATTTTCTAATACCTTTCTTTCTGTCTCTCCCAAACAGCTGATCCGCTAATAAAGATGGAAAGAGACAGAATGAGTTCCCCAACTGCTAGAGGTGAGTATTCGAAGTGTTCCCACGTGCAGGTGTAGTTGTTACAACTGTACAGTAGGTGTAGTAAGTACAGGAGGGACACTGGGTGTGATAAGTGCCGTAGGTGTAGAGGTGCCGTAGGTGCAGTAGGTGGTAGCTCAGAACAGCAGCCCACAAACACGGTTATAAGTGTTTGCCGTGAGCCAGCGTGCGAATATTTAGGGGGACATTATACCTGGCCAAAATCCCCTCCGCACGCGCTCACACACAAATGTGCACAAATGTATATGATATATGAACGGGTTTTGGCGCTGGGCGGGCGCGGCCGGGCGGGCATCAACGCCGGCCATAACTTACGACTGAATTATGAATGGGGTCGATGGGGAGGAGAAGGTGACGGTGTAGGGTGTGTGTGTGTGTGTGTGTGTGTGTGTGTGTGTGTGTGTGTGTGTGTGTGTGTGTGTGTGTGTGTGTGTGTGTGTGTGTATGTGTGTGTGTGTGTGCGTTTCTTTTAATGTTTTTTGATGCAAGTCCTTCTTAACACAATGACAGTACGCGCTTAAACATATGCGCCATATACAAATATCCATTCAAATGGAAGAACAGGCACACGCACTTCAGTTTCAGTATATATATATATATATATATATATATATATATATATATATATATATATATATATATATATATATATATATAATCACACACGCACAAACACACACACACATATATATATATACATAGATATGCATACATACATATGTTTATATATATATATGTTTATATGTATGTATAGAGAGAAACGTATTGCTCCTATTCAAACTGTAATCATAAATCACCAGAAGATGACAGGCAGATATTTGAGTGTCTGCATGAAAAAGCGGTTTGTGTATTCTCGGGTAAATAGATACGCAAGTGTTGGAACAAGAGAATAAAAGCAAAAAGGGAGGGGCGACATAAGCGAGAAGAAGAGGAGAGAAGAGGAGAAAGGAGAAGAGAAGAGAAAAGTGAATAAATAGGAAGTAAAGACAGGGCGTGGCCAGCTGGAGTCGGAGGTGAGGCGGTGCTTGATGACCGAGTTAATTATTCCTTCTCCCAGATCTTCTTTCCCGTTACCATGGCAACCATCCGCCGAGGGGACACGCGTGTGGTAAAAGTTCAATAATGTGCAGATATTCTAGAACATTTTGTGTCGCGCGAGAGTGTATTGGAGATTTTGAAATTACAAGGCAGGCTTGGCCGAAAACTTATGTTGCGTGTGTTTTTACCCATATATATATGTATATATATATATATATATATATATATATATATATATATATATATATATATATATATATATATATATATATATATATATATATTTATACATATATTTATATATAGAGAGAGATAGATAGATATGAGTATATGTGTGTGTGTTTATTTGCTTATTTGTTTATAGATTTATTTATTCAGTTATGCATACATGCATGTATACACACGTATTGTAATTTCAAGATCACCAGTTTATATATAAATATATATATATATAGAGAGAGAGAGAGAAGAGAAGAGAAGAGAAGGAGAGAGAAAGATTGTGCACACACCCTGTAGGTCGCGCTTGTTAACCATACTACATTGACGACCGGTGATAAACTCTACGGAATCGACACGCCGCATTCTGTTTGGGCGGCGTTCACTATTTTCCTTCTCTTTTTTGTGCACCTTTTTTTCATGTTCATATTTTCTCTTCTTTTTCGTGTTCACCAACTTTTCGAGTTTTTTTTTTCGCAAGACCGAAATATTATGACAAAACACAACATCTAGCCATCGGGATTTCAGTGTATAACTACCATTCTTTGTATTAATCAGAGAGAGAAAAAAAAAATCGTGATACAAAAAGAAAGAAAAAAAGATAAGATTCACATATGAGGGAGATAGAGAGGGGGGAGGGGGGGAGGGGATGAGCCTACGTGGTATTGATTGCACAGCCGCAAATGAGTAGCACACCGAACCCCCATCACACCACAGGATGGGTAGGCCTACTTCAGCAAGTGTGTGTCTGTGGTTTAGCGGAAGGAACTGTGGCGGTTTGTGGAAATGCGGTCGTTTGGCTGTTCGGGTGTGGGTGCGGCGGTGGGCGGGTGGGCGAATACAGTGGGCTTTCTGTGCTTTTATTTGGAGCTGAGATTTTTTCCTTTGTGTTATTGGTAAGGTTTTATGTATATTTTATAGTTTATGTTTATATATCTTAAATATGCGGTATGCATATAGATAGATGGACCGATGAACTGATAGATGGGTTGTTTTATGTGTCTGTTTTTTTTTTTCTTTGTGTTTTTTTGTTCTCTGTGTGTTTGTATTTGTATGTTTTCTGGTCTTTTTTTTTTCTTTTTTGTCTCAAGATATATGTCAAGGATTCTCCGTGTTTTTGTGTACATAATTTCTCTTTGGGTGTTTTTGTACACATCTTTCATATTTTCAGACCGATAAAAGAAAGAACAAGAAAATAATGATAATAAGATTGAAAATCCGAAAAGAAAATCTTGCAAAAATCCACCAATTATTATTATTATTATTATTTTTTACTCTGTCGTCATTAATACAAACAGACATTTTATATTAATAATCTGACGCTGCCCAAGACCTGCTATCATATCCACGGCGTGTAATTACGTCCCTATAACCCTTCATTACCGTCTTTTGGGAGGTAATACTAAATTTTTATTATGATTAAATAATGATACGCCGCGGAAATAACGAAACGGAAGTACCCGGTTTGCGCGCTGTCGGTCGGAGCTCATCCCCCCCCCCCATTAACCCCTCCCCCTTTCCCTCTTCTCCCCTTAATCCTTACCCCTCTCTCCTCCCCCCTTCCCCCTACCCAATTCCATTTCCATCCCCCCCCCCCTCTCTCCCCCACTCCCGAACTCGTCTGTTCTCTCATTGTTTCTGTTGTTTTGTTTACCGATTTTCTGATTTTCTCCTGCTCTCTTTCTCTCTCTCTCTCTCTCTCTCTCTCTCTCTCTCTCTCTCTCTCTCTCTCTCTCTCTCTCTCTCTCTCTCTCTCTCTCTCTCTCTCTCTGCGTGATAACACATTATATTTACCAACCGAAACATGGATTCAGAAATCTTTTCTTTCGTATGAGGACACCGGTTGCATAAATTACTGATCGATTAGTTATTAAGTAATTATTCAGTTGTGCGATTTTGTGCGATTATCATCATTATTTTCAATTTTTCACTTACCAGATGCTTGAATAATTCGCTCTTTGAATTAGAGGTTTGTGTATCGGTATTTTCGGAAAGCGACGTCTTCCTCCTCCTTATCTATTTCTGCCAACGCCGCCTCCGCTTCCTCCTCCTCCTCCTCCTTCTTTTTCTCTTCCTCTTCTTGCTCTTCTTCTTCCTCTTTCCCCGCTTCTTTTTCTGTGTATACTCTTCTTCTACGTTTCTCTTCTCTCCCCACTTCTTCCATCTTCTCCTCCTTCTCTTCTTCCTCCTCCTCCTCCTCCTAATTCTAATCCTCCTCCTCCCCTCGCCGCCCCCTCCCCCCCTCTCTCTCCCTTCCCCTCCCTCCTCCCTTCCCGCGTCCTCTTCTTCTTCCCCATCCCCTCCACCCTCCTCCTTCTCCTCCCCTCTCCTCCTCCTTCTCCTCCCCTCTCCTCCTCCTTCTCCTCCCCTCTCCTCCTCCTTCTCCTCCCCTCTCCTCCTCCTTCTCCTCCCCTCTCCTCCTCCTTCTCCTCCCCTCTCCTCCTCCTCTTCTTGCTCCACCTCCTCCCTCTTTCAGTCCGGCCATGAAGCGAACAAGAAGCAAGGGAGGAAAAGGGGGGGCAAAATAAGGGTCTCTTATTCAATAGGGGAAAGAGGGAAGAGGGGGAAGGGGGAAAGGGGGAGAGGGGGAGAGGGGAAGGGGAGGGAGGGAGGGAGGGAGAGGGGGTTTTCGCGACGGATGTGCGTCATTTACTAATGGTTAGTCATTGAAATTATTGTGACGGGAGGGAAGGTGGGGGGGGTTGGTAGAGAGGGGGTAAGGGGGTTCTCTTTCCCATCGCGCCCTCCTCCTTTTTATTCCCCTTTTGCTCTTATTTTCTTCTTCCCGTCTTGTTCTTCTCTCCTTCTTTTTTTTTCTATTCCTTCTCTTCTTTCTCCAGCTCTACCCCCCCCCCCTAGTATCACCCCCCAAAATTGAGGCTTCCCTTCCGCCCCCCCCCCCTCTCCCTTCATCCTTTTCCTTTCTTCCCTTTTATTAACTTTCTAATTCTCTTCGTCTATCGGCATGCCTTTTTTGTTTGCTTTTTCTTTGTTTTTGTTTTTCTTTGGTCTTCTCTGTTTCTCTTTTGTTTTCTGTATACTTTTTTTCCTACTTTAATTCCTCCCCCCTTTTCTTTCCTCGCTTCCTTCAATTTCCGTTTCATGGTTTTCTTTGTTTCTCCTCACTCTCTGTCTCTTTTTCTTCGTCTTTCAATGTCTATTTGGTTTCACCTCCTCCTCCTCCTCCTCCTCCTCCTCCTCCTCCTCCTCCTCCTCCTCCTCCTCCTCCTCCTCCATCTCCTCCTCCTCCTCCATCTCCTCCTCCATCTCCTCTCCTCCTCCATCTCCTCCTCCTCCTCCATCTCCTCCTCCTCCTCCATCTCCTCCTCCTCCTCCATCTCCTCCTCATTCCTCCATCTCCTCCTCCTCCTCCATCTCCTCCTCCTCCTCCATCTCCTCCTCCTCTCCTCCTCCTCCTCCTCCTCCTCTTCCTACTCTTCCTCCTCCTCTTCCTCCTCCTCTTCCTCTTTATTCTTGCCCCTCCCCCTTTTCCTTCAAATTATTCTTCCTTTTCCTCTCTCCTCCTTGGCCCTCCCCTCCTCTTTCACTCAGCCTCTCTGTATTTTGGCCAGCGGTCAGCAAGTTTACAAGATGACCGTCCGTCCCCTCTTTATTCTGCCCTCTTTTCCCCTCACCCTTCCTCCCTCCCCTCGCCCGGCCTCCCTCCCCTCTGCCTCCCCCCCCTCCCCCCACCGCCCGCGAGGTTGAATAGGCGAGGGAAGTCAGCT